TTCCTTCTCTCCTTCCTTCCTTCCTTCCTTCCTTCCTTCTTTCTCTACCTTGCTTTCCCTCCTCCTTCTTTCTCTCTTTTTCTCCCTCCTTCTCTCCTTCCATACCTCTCTCATTCCTTCCTTCTTTCACCTTTTTATTTCCTTCTCTCCTTCCTTCCTTCTCTACCTTCCTTTCTTTCCTTCCTTCTTTCCCTCTTTCTGTCCCTCCTTCTCTCCTTCCTTCCTTACTTCCTTCTCCCTTTCTGTGTATATGTGTTTTGTGTGTGTATATATGTGTGTTTGTGTATATATGTAGTTTTGCGCATGCGTTGTAATGTATTATTTATTTTTAAAAGTCTCTTCTGGTTGTTTTTCAGTGTTTTTATGAGTGATGATCACTCGTTGGCATGAGAGGTGTCTTCTGTCCAAATGTGGTGCCAATTCGTCCAGTGGTTTTTGCGTTATGTTAATCCCACAAACGAACATTACATTTTTATTTATATACTAGCTTGGGGACCCGGCGCTGCCCGGGTTATTTGAGAAAGGGATTGTGTCTCAGGGTTGGTCTTTATCTGTTATTTTTATGGCTCGCAGTGGTCTCAGGAAGTTAGTGAAGATACTGCGAGTCCCATCATCTGTGGTCCACCCTCCTCCAAACTGCACATGGATGTAGAATGGGTCATGGGGGCTCTGTGTGGCAAGTTTGGTCTTGATCAGTCATTGGATGAGGGTCACAGCGGTCTCAGGAAGTGAGTGAAGGTACTGCAAGTCCCATCATCCATGGTCCACCCTCCTCCAAACTGCAATAGTATGTAGAGTGGGTCATGGGGGCTCTGTGTGCCAAGTTTGGTCTTGATCAGTCATTGGATGAGGGTCACAGTAGTCACAGAAAGTGTGTGAAGGTACTGCTAATCCCTCAGGCCTTTTCCTTTCCCCTGTCATCCACTTGAGAGTGTTAGAATGTTGTGGCTGGCCAATTGGAAACCATATGCAAATTTCCTTTCCCCTCTCAGCCACTTGAGAAGGTTAGAATGTTGAGGCTGGCCAATCAGTGACCATATGCAAATAATACCACAGTGGCAGCCAGTCAGAAAGCTGCCACATACACTTCCGTCCTCCGCATACATACATACATACATACATACATACACACATACATACATACAAACATTCTCTTTTATTATATATATAGATATTTATATTATTTATTCCCTCCCACAAAATTATAGATTTGGCAAAAACCAGGCAAAGTATGCTCTCTCATTGCCCCTCTGAGGAAGTTTGCCTTGGAGGCCATCTCCGATAAGGAAGGAGAGTCCAGCTAATCTCTCTCTGGATCCTACTTTGGAAGGATGTCTAGTTTCTGTCCTCATTGATGTTCCTTTCTCTCCAGGCCCAGCAACGTTTGAGAGACATCGCCCGCGACTGCCAGGCGGCCCAACTCAAGAAGCTGAAGGAGACAAACGAGAAGTGAGTATTGTCATGAGATGGCATAGGAGAAAAAGGATTGTCTTCCAAGATCGGTGTCCTGGCCGTGGGTCCGTAGGTGGCTATGAAGCCCTATTCTTGACCTGCATCTTCTCCCGCAGTGAGGGCATCGGTTTCCAGGTGGAAGGCGGTCCCGGTCGGGGTTGGCTTGACGCGCCTTCCCCTTGGCATGTTTCCCTCTTTCACCCTCCATTCGTGCCTCTTCAAATTCTGCAGCACTGCTGGCCACACCTGACTTCCAGCTGGAGCGCTCAAGGGCCAGGGCTTCCAAGTTCTCAGTGTCTATGCCAGAGTTTTGAAGGTTGGCTTTGAGCCCATCTTTCAGTCTCTTTTCCTGCCCACCAACATTCCATTTTCCGTTCTTAAGTTCGGAGTAGAGCAACTGCTTTTGGAGATGGTGGTCGGGCATCTAAACAATGTGGCCAGTCCAGCAGAGTTGATGGCGGAGGACCATCACTTCAATGCTGGTGGTCTTTGCTCCTTCTTCCAGCACGCTGACATTTGTCTGCTTGTCTTCCCAAGAGATTTGCAAGATTTTCCGGAAAGTGTTCTAGGAGTTACATGTGACATCTGTAGACAGTCCACGTCTCGCATGCGTATAGCAGTGTTGGGAAGACAATAGCTTTATAAACAACCCCCTTGATATCCCTATGGATGTCCTGGTCCTCAAACACTCTCAGCTTCATTCGGAAAAATGTTGCACTTGCAGAACTCAGGCAGTGTTGTATTTCAGTGTCAATGTTGACATCTGTAGACAGTCCATGTCTCACAGGCGTATAGCAGGGTTGGGAGGACAATAGTTTTATAAACAAGCACCTTGGTTTCCCTACGGATGTCCCGGTCCTCAAACTCTCTCTGCTTCATTTGGAAAAAAAGCTGCACTCGCAGAGCTCAGGCGTTGTTGTATTTCAGTGTCAATGTTGACATCTGTAGACAGTCCACGTCTCGCAGGCGTATAGCAGGGTTGGGAAGACAATAGCTTTCTAAACAAGAACCTTGGTTTCCCTACGGATGTCCCGGTCCTCAAACACTCTCTGCTTCATTCGGAAAAAAAAGCTGCACTCGCAGAGCTCAGGTGGTGGTGTATTTCAGTGTCAATGTTGACATCTGTAGACAGTCCACGTCTCGCATGCGTATAGCAGGGTTGGGAGGGGAATGGCTTTATAAACAAGCACCTTGGTCTCCCTACGGATGTCCTGGTCCTCAAACACTCTCTGCTTCATTCGGAAAAATGCTGCCTCCTACACGTACACCCTTTATTTCCTTGTTCTATTTTATTTGTTTTATGAGCATCTCTATGCACATAATAAACAGGAGTGGCGATAATGGACAGCCTTGCCTGGTAGCCCATCTTATTTCAATTCTTTGTGTTTTCTCTCCATTGATTATTAACTGTGCATATTGGTCTTTATATATACTTCTTATTATTTTTATATATTGATCTCCCATATCATGTGCTTGCAGAACTTCCGTCATAAATTCCCAGTTTAGGCTGTCAAACGCTTTTTCTATGTC